TCCTCTCCAAACTCAGCTCGGACACCCCGGAGCACATCTCCCAGCTGGCCAAGATCGAGGAGTTGAGCATGTCCAACATCCATGCCAGCCCCGTCTTGTGCGTCCAACAGCGATCAGAGGACTGGATCTCCGACATCGTCACCTTCATCGCAACGGGGGAGCTGCCCCCGGACGAGGAGAGGGCCAAACTTGCCAAACTCAGGGCCCCAAGCTACACCATTGAAGATGGTAGACTCTACAAAAGATCCTATAATGGCACCCTCCTCCGATGCCTGCACCAGGATGAGGCCGACGTGGCCATGGAAGAAGTTCATTGCGGCCTCTGTTCCTCGCACCAGGGCCCTTTCAGCATGTCCCGACGCCTCGTCGTCCAGGGCTTTTTCTGGCCGACAATGGCGCGAGATTGTGCGGACCTGGCCAGGAAGTGCACCACGTGCCAGGTGCTCCAGAAGGCCCCTGGTCGGCCAGCCGTCAACTACACCCCCGTCAGCACCGCAATTCCATTCTCTAGATGGGGAATTGACCTGGTCGGCCCCCTGCCCAGAGCCGCCGGGAACAACCGCTACATCATCGTCGCCGTCGACTACTTCACCAAGTGGGTCGAGGCGGAACCCCTGGCCAGCATCACGGGGGCCAGATGCCAAAAATTTGTTTACAAAAACATCATCACACGCTTCGGCGTCCCCCAGAAGATCATATCAGACAACGGCACCCAATTCGAGGCAGCCCCTTTTCAGGAGCTCCTCCGGGAGTTTGGGGTGAAGCATCGTTTCTCCTCCGTTGCCTACCCTCAGGGCAACGGGCAGGTCGAGAACGCCAACAGGACAATCATGGAGGGGCTGAAAAAGAAACTCCAGGCCGCAGGAGGTAGTTGGGTCGACGAGCTCCCCAACATCCTGTGGTGCTACAGAACCACGCCGAGGAGGGCGACAGGTGAAACGCCTTTCGCCCTGTGTTACGGCTTCGAGGCAAAGGCACCCACGGAAGTTGCCATCCCCAGCCGGCGGGTGGAACAATACGAACCTAACGCTTCGAGGCAAGCTTACGTCCGAGCGGAGAACTACCGGCGTCAAGTAAAATCATACTATGACGCCAAGGTACGTTCCCGGGAATTTCAAGTGGGGGACTACGTCCTCCGTCAAAGGGAAGCAAGCCAGCCGACAGAGGGTGGCAAGCTAGCATTGAAGTACGAAGGGCCCTACATCGTCAGTGCCGTGGTCAAACCCGGCACCTACAAGCTTAAGCGCCCGAATGGGTCCATGATAGAGTATATCTAGAGAGAAGTGAGAGCTAGAGAGAGAAGTGCAATAATATGCTTCAATAGAATGAATTTGTGACCCCCATAACTACTCCCAAAGGGAGTATTTATAGAGAAAATTAGGGCTGGGCTCCCAAGTCTTGGGCTTGGGAGGCCCATTTACAACTGGACCGCTACTGGGCCGAATACAAAGCCACTAATGGGCTGTACAAATGAGTAAGTGTAAAATCCGATTCTGGGAGGTCTTCGTGGCCGACGAGGGCGTGGCCGACGAGGGCACGACCGACGAGGGCACGGCCGACGAGGGCACCCGGGTTCCTTGGACTCAGGTCCATAATCCGAGTTGGTCCCTTTTCGGCCGACGGGGGCGTCTTGGCCGACGAGGACGCCACTCTGTTGCCTTGTGCTTTCTGTTCTTCCGAGTATGTGGGTCCGGGGGCTCAGACCCATATACTCCATCAGGAGTCCCCCACTCTCTAAGCTGAGACGTAGATGAAGTGAAGGAGAGTAGATTCCTATGCTTTGTTGCCCTTGGCCGTTACCTGTTCCTTGTTGTGGACAGGGAGGCCGTTGTTTACTTGATGTCTTCGTTTTGGGACGATGAGTGTCCTTCTTCCAATGGTGGCCGTTGAAGGCACGTTTTGCTTGGGCGCTGATGGTTGAAGTTTACCTTTGGGCCGATGAGGCCGTTGAGGTCGCTCCCTTTGAGGACGATGGCGTCCTTTCCTTTGGGTGGCCGATGAGGGTGCTTGCGCACTCCTTTTGGCCGTCGCTGGTTGGCTTTCGTGTTCTTGGCCGAAGAGCCCATCATGATTACCTGTTGGCGGAGGACGATGTTGTGTGCTTCTAGCCGACGAGGTGCCATTGTCCCAGCGTGGACGATGGCCGTGCTTTGTGGTTACATCCATGTTCTTTGTATTGTTCCTTTTTTGTTGAGGCCGATGTAGTCCCCCAGTCCCCCACTGCTTCAGGCCGAAGAGTGTGAGGGGTGAAGGAGTTGCGTGAGTCCCTGGCCGAAGCGGCCTCGCCGTAGTCCCCCTGAATCCAACCCTCATGGCGATTTTCTGGCCAAGGTAACCCTGTGGGAGAACCCTTGTGCGCAGATCGCTTGTAGAGAGTTATCATCAAGGGTTATTACAAGGAGCCGAAGGCTGTGGGCTCTTTGTTCCCTTTGTTCTGTGGCCGCTACGTTCCTGGCCGTTGCCATCTTCTTATTGTTTGGCATTTGTGATTTTGGCAAGCAAATGGGACGTTGTGGGCGCTTGCTGGTACTTGTGAACCCGGTGAGCGTGTAGGCCGTAGAGTCTGATTTGCCGGTGGGCCGTTGATATGGGTTGGGCCTGGCCCATTGGTGACGTGGTGGCCTCCCATTGGTGACCGCTGATGTGGCCATTGGGAGGGTGTCACGTGTAGTGACCGTTGGGTGGGGGGGTTCTATAAATACCCCCTCCCCTCCGACGAGAAACCACATTTGCATTCTGAATTGTCGAAGTGCTGGCAATTTTTCTAGAGAGATCAACTCCCAAGCTTGTTCTTCGTGTTCGTCGTTGTTCAAGGTTATTGTTCATCGCCATCCTCTGTACTTTGTGCATACTTTGCTTCCTAGGCTAGTGATCTAGTGTTAGGCGTTCGAACATCCTTAGATCCTAAATTGCTTCCCTTAGGTTCGTAGTAGTAGTTATGAAGAGCTTGAACGAAGACTACTACCCCTACGACGACTAGCCCTCCACGAGGTCACTTGACTATGAGGTGCTCGAGGAATTCGAGGAGGAGATACAACATCTAAGTCCTTACAAGTCCGAAGAGCTGATGGACGACGAGGTCGAGGACGAGGAGTCCGCCTCTTCTTCAAGGGGTGAGGACGCAGGTGCGTCCCGAGTGTTGGACGGGACGTCCACTTCCGTTGTCATTCCGTGCCCGAGGCCGGTGTCCGCCGTTAAGGGAGCCGCCAAGCCGAAGAGAGTGAGGAGGCCGAAGAGTGGGCCCGGCATCTCCTATCTGGATCTCACCAACATCTACCTGATCAAGCCGGAGAGCAGTGCGGCCGACTATCTTGTTGCCCAGATGTACGTGGGGCCGTTCGGGCGGGTTAGGGCACCCAGGCCGACGGACCATGTTCTTCTGCCACCACCGGGATACTTTGGAGTATACCCGATGAGTTTTGCTAAGGGGTTGAGGTTCCCCCTTCACCCTTTCATTACTGAGTACCTGGACATGGTAGGGCTTCCTCCGGCCTTGCTGACGCCGAACAGCTACTCCTTGATGGTGGGGTTCTTGCTCCGGTGTGAGGAGTTGGGCTACAGGCCGAAAACGGCACTATTCATGAATCTGTACTAGATCGGCCGAGGAAGCCACAAGAACTGTGCGGCCTATGCTACTCTTCAGCAGCTGCCGAAGAAGAGGAGCTTCACGGATTTGCCTACGTCCATTCATGGGTGGAAGAGCAAGTTCGTGTTTGTGTCCATTGGTGAGAGTGGCACCGAGTTTCCCTCCCTCGGCCACACCGGGAGGTTTAACCTGCACGACCCGCCGAAGAGCTCTATTTTGGACGCTCAGGTGGAGGCTTTCTTGGAAGGGGGGCCGAGGAGCGTGAAGGAGTACATTACTGAGTACAAGATGACCGCCCTCGGCTTCTTGAGGTACCATGTCTATGGTGACAAGGAGGATGACCTCCAACTCTGGCCGAGGATGACCACTACCTTTGAAGAGGCCGACGGCCCGGATTTGGGCATTCCTGCTGAGGCCGATGGTAATTACCTCTTCGGCTTTCTGTTTTTATGTTTTTGTCCTTTGCCTTACTAATCCGTTGTGTTTTTCCTTTGTAGATTTTGCCATGGACCGACGTTCCATAATGGCTATTGCCAAGGCCAAAGCGGCCGAGGAGCTGGCTGTTAAGGCGGCCGAGGCGGCCAGACGTGCCGCGGCCGGTGGGAGCGGGGCTACTGCTGATGCGGCCCCAAAGCCTGCTCCATCGAAGAAGAAAAGGCCGGCCACTGACGGCCAGAAAAAGTTAACTGAGGCCGGCCTGAGCGTCTCGAAGAAGACGAAGAGGGCTCCTTCCCCTTCTCCGGCTACTGAGGCCGGTACTCTGGCTGTCCCCAGCGTGGACGATAGTGGTCCTGTCGTGGACCTTACTGCTGTTGGTGATGCTGCTCCATCACTGCCTCTCGTCCAGGAGCCACGGACGAAGAGGGTCGGCAAAGAGATTGCAGGTTCCACCTACCAGAAGATGGTAGAATACCCCGTCGGCGGGGGTGTCTTCGATGACGTCGTCCTTGGCCACGACGTCCTGGCACAGGCCATGCCGGCCAAGGATCGGGCTTACCTGAGGAAGCTCGAGGACGTGAATATCTACGAGGGCGGCATGGACCTCCTCGTCCAAGTAAGTTACCTTCCTTATGCGTTGTCTTTCTCGTCGTCTGTGTGAAACCATTTGCCTGACTTTTGTTTCCCTTGTTTCTGCAGAGTGCCTTCATGCTAATGGAGAGCCATAAGAGGCAATACCGAGAGATAGCTCGCTTGAAGGAGCTGGAGCAGAAGGCCGCTCGGCCGACGAGGCGGTTGCTTGCCTGGACCGGCTCCGGGAGGATGCCAGGGCGTTGCAGGCCAAGGCCGATGAAGCCGCCGCAGCCAGGGACGATGCCCTGGCCAAGCTCGAGGAGAGCAAATGGGAGCTTGAGGAGTCCCAAAGGGCCCTGGAGGCCGAGCGGCGCAAGAGCGAGGAGGCCGTCAAGGCGAAAGCGGATGCCGAGGCCGCCGTTGTGAGGGCTGCTGACGAGGCCGTCGAGAAATTCCTGGCCGAGGGGTGGAAGGCCGATGAGAGGCTCCCCTGGTGCTACGAGGTGGTGGCCGCCAGGCTTGAGAGTTGGGGGATGAACTCCCCCGCCGGCCAGGAGTATTTCAGCCGAGAGATGTCCGTGTATTATAACCTTGGCCAGGAGCGGATGCAAAGGCTCCTGTGTCGGCGGCTCTCTCGTGCTTTGAAAGCCATGAACTACACGTCTGGGTGGGCTAGACGGAACCTGAAGCTGCCGAAGCTGATGAAGGATCCAGAAGAGCAGGCAAAGCTTCCGTTGTCGGAGCGCGAGTCCCCAATTGAAAGCTCCGGCCTTGGCGAGCCGGATTACACCGAGTTTGATTTTTTGGACGACGCCACCAGCGCTGCAACCGCCGCCGGCCAGGAGATTGAAGCCGAGGAGGGGGCCGACGAGGCCGAAGAGCCAGCCGCAGATGGAGGTGCCCCAGAGGCTTGATCGGCTACTCTGTAGTTAATTTTTATCTTTGCCAAATGTTGTAACGGCCGTAGCGCCCCCCAATTGTAATGAACTTGACTATCAATTGAAAAAAAATTTGTCGTCCTCTTCGGCTTTGAATCCCTTGTATGCTTGTTTGCTTTTTGTCATTTGTTGAAATTTTTTCTAAGTCTCAAGGTCACAACTTGGGTGACCCGGGAGTGTCCGCTAAGTCCGTGAGGTCGTCCACCCTGTCCGGTGGCCTGGTCGGCCTGTTCGTCGTTGCTTTACTACCATAACACTTAGGATTTTTGCAGAAAATCTTCTAAGTGTTTCGGGTTCACTTGGATGCCTTCTTCCCGGTCTGGTGGCTTGGTCGGCCTGACCGTGTTGATGTAGTATCATAACACTTAGGATTATTTCGAAAAATTTCCTAAGTGTTTTTGGTTTCTTACAGTTGCTTCCTTGTGGCCTGGTGGCCTTGTCGGCTTGGCCGGTGGTTCTTGGCTACCATAACACTTAGGATTTTTTTCAAAAATTTCCTAAGTGTTTTGGATCCCTTTAGGTGCTTCCCTTTTCAACCTTGACCGTGGTGCCCGCTCCGTCCGGGCCTTGGATTCATTATTTTTGACAAATGCTATGGGAGATGTCCAAAGTGTTTGAGCCGGTGTCGTTGTCGGCCTGTATCCTTTGTGTTGTGGCCGATAAGGGCACCTTAACCTTGATCTTTTTGAACTTAGAATTTTTCTAAGTACACATGTAGAGGTATGGGTAGATAACGACCTTGGAGTATACTGGTACCCGCTTCGGCTAGAGTTCCTTCATTTGAGTACTTAGATAATTTTCTAAGTATAAATGTTAGGCATTTACTTCTTTGCGGTGCCGCTGTCGGGCAAGGTCTGGCTTGTGGCCGATGAGGGTGCTGGATAAGGAATGGCTTGTCCAAGGAGACGGTCCTACCTTCGTCGGCTAGCCATGGTTCCTTGTTGAGGAACCCTCTCTTTTCTCAGGATTTTTTCTAAGTGTTTGGGAAACACTTAAACGAATTCCCCAAGAGCTTTCACTTGACCAACAGCCTTGGTTCCAGTGCCTGCGTCGGCCATCCGAGATGTTGTGGCAAGTAGAGGCTGTTTCTTGATTGCTTGATCCTTTCGCGGGTGTGATAAGTGCCCGCTTCGTCCTGGTCATCCTCAGGATTGCGATGCTTTGTTTCATACCAAGCGTTGGTGCCTCAAAGGACTATGGCCGATGAAGGTCACCTCTCGCGTGTCACCCAACCGATGCGGTTAGGGTTTTATAGGCGTGTGTTTCGGCCTTGATTATTCCCTTGTAGTGTGTGGACGTGTCGTCCATGTTACCTGTCAGTGGTACTACACTTGTGTTCAACTGATATGTACTTGGCCTAGTTGGGCCTGAGTTGTGGGGATTTTATTTTTTCATTGCTCGAGGCCGGCTAGTGTGCGCGGCCGTCGGCTTCCCTCTTTTTCCCTTATATATATATTTTTTTTCGTTTCAGGGGTATCCTTCTTTCAGGCTTCGGCCGAAGGGTGTGCTCGTCCTTCGGCCGGTTCGGACTTCGTTTATAACGTCCGTGATCTCAGGGCGGGTCCCGTCGCCTATTTATGACGCGGGCTAGACTTTTGGTCGGTTTCCAACGGCTGTCGTTGCCCATCCCTGAGTTTTGGGATTTTGTCACCTCGGCCATGATTTCAGGCTTGTCGTCCTGCGATCTGGCGTGTGGACGACGCGGTGAGCTTCCCGTTTCAAGACGTGGGCCGTTTGCGGGCCCCTCGTCCTGGGGACATCGTCGGCCATACCCGAGCGTTTCACTTCTAGGCTTACAGGGCCAGGACGATGTGCTCTCTCAGCTAGGCCTGAGCCCTTTGCTGATACAAAATACAATGGAGCGCCTGAGCTTGTTGCTCGTAGGCTTCAAATGCAAGGGGGCCTCGTCGGCCATGCCTGAGCCTTTCGCTCTAAGGTGGCCGACGGGGGCACCTGCTAATGTTTTACTTTAAATTCCAGAAAAAAAATCAGAACATGATTTTATTCATAAGTGGCTCGAGGCCGAGGGTGGCGTTCAATCAGTAACCCGTCAAGGGGTGAGGGCTTCGCCGTCTGCACCTCCTTCGGATCACTGATAAAACTTCACCAGATGGTGTACATTCCACGTTCGTGGTACATTGGACCCATTCGGGCGTTTAAGCTTGTAGGTGCCGGGTTTGACCACGGCACTGACGATGTAGGGCCCTTCGTACTTCAATGCTAGCTTGCCACCCTCTGTCGGCTGGCTTGCTTCCCTGCGGCGGAGGACGTAATCCCCCACCTGAAATTCCCGGGAACGTACCTTGGCGTCATAGTATGATTTTACTTGACGCCGGTAGTTCTCTGCTCGGACGTAAGCTTGTTCACGCCTCTCATCAACCAGGTGTAGGTCAATCTTCATGTTCTCTTCGTTGGTGTCAGGCTCATATTGTTCCACCCGTCGGCTGGGGATGGCAACTTCCGTGGGCGCCTTTGCTTCAAAGCCGTAGCACAGGGCGAAAGGCGTTTCTCCTGTCGCCCTCCTCGGCGTGGTTCTGTAGCACCACAGGATGTTGGGGAGCTCGTCGACCCAACTACCTCCTGCGGCCTGGAGCTTCTTCTTCAACCCCTCCATAATTGTTCTGTTAGCGTTTTCGACCTGCCCGTTGCCCTGAGGGTAGGTAACGGAGGAGAAACGATGCTTTACCTCAAACTCCCGGAGGAGCTCTTGGAAAGGGGCTGCCTCGAATTGGGTGCCGTTGTCTGATATGATCTCCTGGGGGACGCCAAAGCGTGTGATGATGTTCTTGTAAACAAATTTTTGGCATCTGGCCCCCGTGATGCTGGCCAAAGGCTCCGCCTCGACCCACTTGGTGAAGTAGTCGACGGTGACGATGATGTAGCGGTTATTCCCGGCGGCTCTGGGCAGGGGGCCGACCAGGTCAATCCCCCATCTGGAGAATGGAATTGCGGTGCTGACAGGGGCATAGTTGACAGCTGACCGACCAGGGGCCTTCTGGAGCACCTAGCAGGTGGTGCACTTCCTGGCCAAGTCAGCGCAGTCGTGTGCCATCGTCGACCAGAAGAAGCCCTGGACGACGAGACGCCGGGACATGCTGAAAGGGCCCTGGTGTGAGGAGCAGACGCCACAATGAACTTCTTCCATGGCTATGTCGGCCTCGTCCTGGTGGAGGCATCGGAGGAGGGTGCCATTATAGGACCGTTTGTAGAGTTTGCCATCTTCGATGGTGTAGCTTGGGGCCCTGAGTTTGGCAAGTTTGGCCCTCTCCTCGTCCGGGGGCAGCTCCCCCGTTGCGATGAAGGTGACGATGTCGGAGATCCAGTCCTCTGATCGCTGTTGGACGCACAAGACGGGGCTGGCATGGATGATGGACATGCTCAACTCCTCGATCTTGGCCAACTGGGAGATGTGCTCCGGGGTGTCTGAGCTGAGCTTGGAGAGGATGTCGGCTTCGGCGTTCTCGGCCCTTGGGATCTGAGTGATCTCGTGGGTTTCAAACGCTTTCAGCAACTCCTCCGCCGCTTTTTTGTACTGCTTCATCCGGCCTTCCTTTGCTTCGTACGATCCCTCCACCTGGCCCACTACCAGTTTGGAGTCGCACTTGATTTTGAGGTGCTTGGCCTTGAGGCCGGCGGCGAGTCTGAGACCGCTGAGGAGGGCCTCATACTCGGCTTCGTTGTTGGATACCCTGAAGTTGAAGCGGATGGCATAGTAAGCTCTGAATCCTTCAGGGGATATGAGGACGCCGCCGCCGCCGCATGATTTCGCGGCCGACGAGCCGTCAGTGAACAGGGTCCACGTATCGTCCGGCTCCGGCCCGGGGTTGGCGACAGCCGTCTCCCTTGCTGTGCATTCAATGACGAAGTCGGCCAAGGCTTGCCCTTTGATGGATGGCCTTGGCTTGATCTCAATCTGAAACTGGCTGAGGAAGATCGCCCATTTCACCATCCTCGAGGAGCTGGTGGGGCTCCTCATGAGTGCGCCGAGGGGCTGCTGGGTCAGCACATGGACGGTGTGGGCTTGGAAATAGTGCCCCAGCTTCTTCACTATGTGGACGATGGCCAGCACCGTCTTCTCAATGGGGGAGTACCTGAGCTCGGCCTCCCTGAGTGTCTTGCTGATGTAGAAGATGGCCTTCTGCACCCCTTCGTCCTCACGGATGAGCACGGAGCTGATGGCCGACGTGCTCACCCCTAAGTACAAGAAGAGGGTTTCGCCGGCTTTGGGCTTGGAGAGCACGGGTGGGGACGACAGGTACCTCTTCAATTCGTCGAATGCTTCCTGGCACTCCGTCGTCCACTTGAAGCTGTTTGCCTTACGCATGATCTGGAAGAAGGGGAGTGCCCTCTCGGCTGACCTGGAGAGGAACCGGTTTAAGGCCGCCAGGCGCCCCGTCAGCCGCTGTACCTCCTTGACGTTGCGGGGCGGCTCCATGTTGATGATAGCCTGCGTCTTCTCCGGGTTTATCTCGGTGCCTCTCCGGTTGACCATGTAGCCGAGGAACTTGCCGCCCTGGACGCCGAAGGCGCACTTCTTGGGGTTGAGGCGGAGCCTGAACTCCTTCATTATTTCAAAGATTTCCCGTAGGTCGTCGGCGTGGGAGGTGGCCTGCCTGCTCTTGACGATCATGTCGTCGACGTACGCCTCCATCGTCCGATCCAAGGACCGTCCTGAAGATCTTGGCCACCATCCTAGTGTAGGTGGCGCCGGAGTTTTTGAGTCCGAAGGCCATGACGAGGTAGCAAAAGATTCCCTCTGGGGTCATGAATGCCGTCTTCTCGGCGTCATCTTCGTGAATGGAGATTTGG